AATTACATTAGTTGGTATGCCTATGTCCATTTAATTAAGAAACAGCGATAGAGAGAGGAAGAAGAGAAGTGGGAGCAGCCTGGTTATAGCTGACCACTCTATAAACTTTGCACATCAGACCTTTCGCTAAGCTAACAAAAAATCTATTCACAAAGAAAAGAACCAAAAAAAGAAAGAGCCAGATAGCAAGCATGAAGCAAGCAAGAAAGCAAGCAATGTAAATGTGGTCAACGATCTATATATAGAGTCATATGATAAATAATAATGTAAATTGTGATATGGCCCCCGCGAAAAATTCATCTAATCCCCAGATGATGCAGAAAGAAAGACTGGTAGTGGTCGTTGTAGCTGGCATTCGCGTCCGAAGAAGTTGACGTTTCGAATGTAGAACAAGATTGTATTTTGGTGTCCTTGCACCCGCCGCCTCAAAGATGTAAAAAATGCTGAGTGTATTTCATATTCGGTTCCATAGCTCAGTTGGTTAGAGCGCTGTGCTAATAACGCAGATGTCGAGGGTTCGACCCCCTCTGGGACCATATTTTTGTGGGTATAATCCATGTATGATATAGTAGTTATACAAAACCATACTTTTTTTAGGCTTTATTATGTATCTACATTACATGTGACTTAGCAACTATAGAATATTTTAAAACTACGAACTATCAACTTTATTAAAGATATATGCAGGTATCTATAAAGGGTTCAGAGGTTTAAGCATAATGCAAAAAAATTTCTAGAGACATGCCTTAACTATTAAGGTAGGCCAAAAATGGTCCCAGAGGGGGTCGAACCCTCGACATCTGCGTTATTAGCACAGCGCTCTAACCAACTGAGCTATGGAACCACTTGATGGCTCTAACTCTGTATCTATGCAATTATCAAAGTAGAATAGTAGGGTACGGATAAATTTTTGGTCCCTCGTCATCAGCATGGCACTCTAACCAATTGAGTTATGGAGCCTAGTATATACGCAGCTTCCATATTTTTGATATCTTCCAGAAGCCACCTGAGCAGGAAGCCTTGGCCACTAAGATAAACCAAACACATCCACAGTCATCTATGTGACCTGCGGAAGTTTTGGCGCTACCTCAAGACACCAACGATACGCAACCGATCTCTCTCTCTCTCTCTCTCTCTCAGATGTATCCCCTATACTCGCTATAATGAGAAGAAGGGCTGGCAATTCTCTATCTGCGAAGGTAAGTTTCATAGCTTTTGAACGCACTAACGCCTGTCTATCCAGAAACCCCGTCAATCGTAAAGTGAGTACAACTTATCCAACCTTTAATAACTATGATTCCGTGTTTGTACCGAGGCGATGCTTAAGCATATCAAATAGGGCAAGGCAGCTTGTGACTCAGTCAGAGCCCAGGTTAGAATGTCAACAGCTATTCTCGTGAAGCAGCTGAGCTCCTTGGTCTTGGGTCTGGATTTATCTAAGGTGCAGAAGTGCCTTGGTGCCTGGCATATGGCTTTCATCCCACGGCACAGTATTATATTTTCAAACCGTGTATCCTGGAGTACTAGTGCGGACTGAACAGTATAGAGTCCGGGGAGTTTGCTCTCGGCCTGACTAGCTCAGCACCTATTTCATACTTTATTCCATCTTCATTCGAGACTTCGCAACCATAGATAAGTGCATCGGGTACTCATGTATCTACAGAGTCCAAATCTGAGGGTGAGAGGTTTCATATATGACCAGGTACCCGAGGGATACATGTACCAGAACCAATTTAAACCAGTCTCTATCATGACCGAAGACACTCAATGAAACCAATTGAGTTTACAATAACTAGACTACTTCTTATCGCTTTGTGTCAAAAACATCTTACGCAAAAGGATTATCAGTGTCGCTATCCTCACTCTTCATCGTCATTTTTATCGTAATTATCATTCTCGGTATTATGAACAGCCTCGGAGTCAGCTTCAAACCGTATTTTATCATTTTCAATTTCCAACGGGAATGCGTCCAACTCTGGGGTCTCAGAAGCTTTCTCTTCGTCTTGATCAATTCTATCCGTAATATGCTACGCTTTTGACCATTTCCAGGCTATCTAATCCTGATTGTATAAGCGAGGCCTGAAGACACTATCTATATTCACTGCACGCGGGCATCGTATGTACCGAGAGCATCGCAGTCTTCCAACTTGACGGCGACTGTGGAGCGCTCTTCTCGTCCTTTGAAGGAATAGTAGCCATCCATTGAATAAAAGGGAGACTTTCTTTTTATGGTAGGAATAATAAGATCCTAGTCCAAAGGGTAAAATAAGTATAATTGTTAAAAGGAGCGTTATACTCCAAGATCTAGTTATCCTACTAGGCCTTGTATTATCACGGTACGTGGCTACTGGCTACTAATATAATATAGGAAGCAAAGAAATACACGGAAGTGGGCCTTTTCTGGTTGCTATAACATGTATAGACTTTTGAGACTTTTACTTATTCCAATTGTATACTCGTGACTATACTTTAGAATCCTTCCTTCATTTATCTGGTTATATATAGTACTTTAACTGCGGAATTTCAGCTAAGATCGTGAAAAGATTAGAGATCGGCATATGGCAGCCGAAGATGTTATAAATTGATGAATATACAGGACGTTGCTAACCTGATCCAAGGCTCCAGTAGGATCAATTGATATAAGAATGGGCAGGGATTAGCAGGAAGTATTTCATGGATTTTGTGCCAGCTGGGATAGGTAGACCTTAGTATTCTCGTATACCAGGAAGGTCACCCACGTGCTGGGAAGTACCCGGAACAGATTTGGACCAAGACCTTTATAAAAGCCTGCGATCCCTTCTTGGGCCCATATCTGGGAAATGACATCAATCGCCCCACGGTAAATCAGATGGGCCTCGTAAGTTTGCAACCGGGACCTAATTACTTGGTAAGGATATGTCACACTGCCAGCGAAGACTTTTGATAGACCGGAGATGGCAAAAAAATCAACATTACCCAGCACCCGTTCGGCGCCCAAGCGACTGCTCTCAATTGAGCCCATGTTATTCATCGACCGCAACCTGAAAAGTTTCAACTGCTCGTATGCCATAAACTGAAGGGCACCATGGCTGACGCCAAAGAGGGCTGGTACGAGACCTCGGTAGAAGCCGGGTATTCCTTCCAATTGGTATATTTGTTTTGCTCCAGATGCAAACGAAGAATATGCCCCTGGAGCATGGGAACCCGTTGACAACATGCGAGTTTTGATCACCCAGATTGGATTGGTGAGGACCGACGTAATAACGCCTATGGAAATCCAAAGATTAATTGGGGAACGGAGGAACGATGCTGAATTAGATATGACATGTGCATACCTGCACTTCCAGACGCGAGAAGATAATCAGACGACGTGAGAATCTGCTCGCTCTCCTTGCGATATATTCGAATAGTATCCTTCAAGCTGCTGTAGCATAAGAAGTACAAACCCCAGCTTGTGGAATTTCCGATAAGATTGGGGGTAAGTCCTCGGTAGAAAGCGGCACAGCCACCCTCATGATAGAATATCTTGCGAATGACCTGCAGTGAAGTCCCAAACCCGGAAGATGATCGATCGACTATATATACCAAGACGGAGTTAGTTATTCTATACCCCAAGCAGCGCCAAGATAATATCGATGCTTGCCTTGTAGCCTTGTTTTGACCATGTCAAGAGGATGTAGCGATAGAGTTGACACGATTCCCGCTGTGAATCCTGCTACGGGCTCCACAAAGGATGACGAGAGGCCATCTTGACTAGTCATGAACCTGCCTTAGAGACGAAGCTAGGAAAATCGAACACACAGAGACAGAGACAGAGACGAGAGGAAGAGAGTGTGTGGAGAACAATGTTAGAGGAGGGAGAAGATAGATGGAGAAGACGAGATGGAGAATATTCTAAGAATAATAATGTCAGAACATGTGACTGCCGAGTAACTCCGTAGATCTTAGCCCTGGAGCGTATAGTAACATATGCCACACATTAATCTCCAGACCTCCAGATTTTCTTCTTTTTTATACAAAGCTCAGTTGTTTACTCCGGAATTATCGCAGATCACACAGCATTTCTGTACCAAAATGGACAATATTCGGCCAGAGACTTAAAATTACAAAAATCATATAGCTTTCACAAGCTGCAAACAGTGATTATCCAGATATTCGAACCTACCATCCCTCCCGGAGGGAATAGTTGAAAGGTCATCCAACAATATACTGCGCCATATCCATCCGATCCGCGTATCCTCAACGTGCAGTTTACGCAAGAGGCGAGAACAATCTAGGTATCAAGTTAGTCATGACAGCTGGAATTCAAGGAGTTGAAGCGTACCTGAACAATGTCGGCTTGGGCTCGCTATAGGTGTAGCCTGTTTTTGTTGTTTTGTTAACTTATGGTGTTGAGAATACCAAAGGCATATATATATACATACCCAGATAGACAATCAGAGGCAAGTATCCGCTAGATGGTTATCGCCGGTCAGCTCGGAGGATGGCGTGGAGGTGTGCTATAAGGCTCACTAGTGAATTGCGACCCGAGAAATATCAATGACCTTCGAGATGCGCTCCTAAATAGATCAAAAAGCGAGAGTTAGAAACCCGGTCTCAAGGAGGATCGGGGTTGTAACTAACCTTGGTCTCCTCGGAGAATTGAACCATTGTGAATTTATGAAAGTAGATTTTGGAAAGGTTTCAAGGAGATCAACACGAATAAATTGAAATTGGTTCACGGTCGATTCAAGTGAACAAGTAGGAAATGTGGTTGATGGATGAAGTGGAAAACAGGGAGGATTTGCGGAATCAAAAAGTTTCGGAAAGGTCACTGATCATCCCTCAACTCCGGGTTTCCTTCACTTCAACACTTTCTTTCACACCTCATTACCTCTCTACTACCACTCAAATTAGTCTACTTTGTTGGTCCAGGTTTCGCTAGAGTTTCACAACCTATTACTTTTTCTCGGATCTTTGAGTCCTTTTCCGCTAGGGGGAGCTTTTTTCTCCCCTCTCCCTCCAACTAATACACCGGCGCCATGTCTAACGCAAGACATTGGTAAGACCTTCTTTCCTCCCCACAGGGACCTGATGCTAACTTACCCCAGGGAACAAGATAAAGAGGCAACCGTGTACATCGGAAACCTTGATGAACGGGTTTCGGACAGCCTTGTATGGGAGCTGATGCTACAGGTTGGGCGCATCGTCAACGTCCACCTGCCCAAAGACCGGGTCACGCAGCTACACCAGGGGTATGGATTTGTTGAGTTCATCAGCGAGGAAGATGCCGAATATGCATCGAAGATCATGAATGGAATCCGTCTCCATAGCAAGCCTATTCGCGTTAACAAAGCGTCAGCCGATAAACAAAAGACCGTGGAAATCGGCGCAGAGCTGTTTGTGGGTAACCTGGATCCTATGGTTGCCGAGCAGGTTCTGTTTGATACGTTCAGCCGGTTTGGCAATCTTGTCAATCCGCCCAAAGTGAGATCTCCCCCAATACGAACAAGATGGAAATTTTTAACAGTCTCTTTTTCATATTACTTTACAGATTGCTCGTGATGACAACAATCTCTCTAAGGGATACGGATTTGTTTCTTTTGCCGATTTCGAATCCTCGGACGCGGCCATCTCCAACATGAATGGCCAGTACCTGATGAACAAACAGGTTTCGGTACAGTATGCGTACAAGAAAGATGGGAAAGGCGAGAGACATGGGGATGAAGCGGAGCGAATGCTCGCAGCCCAGGCTCGCAAACACAACGTACAGCCACCGACTCAACAACCTCAGCAACCTTCGCAGTTCCCTGGCGCTGCGCCGGGCGTATCAGCAACACCTGCCATGTCGAACGGCGATAGCTCTCGCCCATTGATTACGGCTCAGTCACAAACACCCGATCTAGGAATGAACCGGGGTATCCCGCCAGCTATGCCCTACCAGAGTGCACCCCCTCCAATGCCCTATCAGACCGTTCCCCCTCCAAACCGACATGTTCCACCTCCCGTCCCTTCAATCAATACCCCACCTCCCGGGCTCCCAGCTCGACCTCCGCCTTCCCAAGCTGGCTACGGTGGTCCACAGACGTTTCTACCACCTGGATTCAATGGTGCAGGTCAACCGCCCTTCGTCCCACAAGCTGCAGCTCCCCCTGGGTTTGGACCACCTGGGTTTGGACCTCCAGCGGGAGCCCCTTCATTGCCACCGGGCTTCCAACAGCCCGGATATGCAGGCAGTCGATGATTCCTAGTGGTTTTCAGTCTTGAGAGCGCCTCTCCTCCCCAAAGCTATTCCCGACCTAGGACCAAAGCGTGGTCCATGCGTTAGATGTTCTTCTCCTGCTTGACTACCTTGAACATGTTTATGGGGGTGCGAGGAGGTGGATCGAAATGTGCCTTGGCGCTGGCTGGCTATTGGCAGTGCTGAATGGCCATATGTAATATTAAGTGACTTAGACACGGACGAGACAGACAGACGTGTTGTATTTGATTTTGATAATTTGATAATACGTCAACTCCATAGGTTTAAGTTGCCAAGGATCATTTCAGACACAAGATATCCGCCCGCTCAAGTGATAAAATAATTACCCCTAGCGCTCTGACAGCACAGATGAGATATTACCGGTCAAAAGCTGGGACCTCTATTTGTACGGATTCTGCTAGCGAGAGATCCGCTCTGACAATGGCCACAAAACACGCTAGGACTGGTGATATGGTTGAAGGCAAATCACGAAAATGAGACGAATTTAGGGTCCCTTGGCCGGCCGTCCGGTCCGATGTTATTCTTTGCAAATCGTTGCTCTGTGTAGATGCGCCGTGCTTCATCAAAATCGACCTTCTGACTCTTCATAATCTTGATCACTTCTTTCTTTGCTCGTTGATCCAAGCCAGCCCTCGAATCCCCGTCTGCAAGATTGGCAGTAATGTCGAATTGCGACGAGCTCAGACCGGCCTCGAGATCGGCGGTAAAACTTGAAGGAAGGCGGTGATAGAGATAATCAGGCACTTGGATTAACGGCATCCATCGTGACCGAGTGAGGTATAAGGCTACAGTGTAATTAGAACCACATCCGTTGAGAATGATTGCTTTGTTTCCTCCCGGGTTGGAAAGACACTTGACCTACCTGTCCCGCTGATGATAACCGAAAAGAGTAGGAAATAAAAGAGAATGTAGGTCATGATGATGAGTGATACCGGTGAAGATTCGGGCGTGTACGGAGTAGTAGTATATTGCGGTGTAAGGAGAAGTTGGCGCCTCTCGAGAGTTCTTTGCCAAAGAAGGACTAAAAGATGATGTGTTCCATCAGGCAATAAGCCGTCGATGAAGAAGGCATAGGAGATCACTAGAAAGTAGAGTTTGGAGGGGGCAACGTCAGCATCGCGTTCATATTATTGGCAGCCTGGAGGTCGCCGGAAGTTGTTAGTTCTGCCTTGTTTGACAGGCAGCAGTATTCAGGTATCAAGGCATCAGGCACCAAGGCACTCAGCCTATTCCTAAAGTAGCCGCCTTAGCGAGACTTCGTCCAATCCGAGGTCTTGGCATTCAAGACACACAATTGGATCGACGTGAAGACGGTTTTGATAGCGATTTCGATCTTTCAATTCTCCAACTCAACATCCCCTCTCATCACAATGTCCTCAAACATCTCCAACGACCTGGTCTGGGAGATCACCCGTATGTCCAACCCTCCGCAACTTTTCATTTCGAATTTTTGTCAAAGCTTTTGGAAACCGAACTCCAGCTCATCAATCTTTGGAATAGGCAACCAGAACTCCTTCCTGGTTAACCGCAACTCCGGCGGTGGCTCCCAGTTCTCCCGGGACCCCCTGAACCTGCTGAACAAGCACTCCTACAAGGTACGGGCCTCGGGGATTAGACGGAATGGATGTTTCTTTCCGGGAATGCATGGCTAACAACGGTCTCTTTTGGCGCTCTATAGTATGCCGGTTATTCCAACACCAAGGTAATTAAGTTCTATACTGCTGATGTTGCCCCTGTTATATATATAAGATAGATTTGTGGCGCTAATTATATTACCTTCAGGCCGTCGGTGTCCAGCCCACTGAGAACGGTGTCGCCGTGATCACCAAGAAGCCCAGCAACCCCCAGCAGCCCGCTCAGAACTTGGTCACTGTCACCTACGGTCCCAGCACCGCCAACCGCAAGTAAGCGGCTCCTATTTTTCATTCCTTTGTTTTTCAAGACATGGATGGTGTGTGTTGTTCTTCACGATCCAGTGCTGATCATTATCTGCTTTACAGGATCTACAAGGGTGTTGCCGACAGAACCGCTAAGAACAACTACCGTGCCGATCTTCGCGAGGAGGCCGTCGCCCGTGTGAGCGCCGTCCGCCGCTCGCAGCTCCCCAAGAAGGATGCTCCTGCCCAGAAGCCCCGTGGCTCCAAGGCCCGCAAGGCCGAGGAGTCCGAGTAAGGTTTTCTCGAGATAAGGCTGAATTGTGGACTATGAAGGATCTGAGATCTGGGAAGGAGACTTGACAGGCGTATGTAAAACGCCATGCTGAACTTGGAAACCATGTAATCTAGCAATCTTGCTCCGAGGGCAGCAAAAAAAAAATCTGTGTCCTGTCTGAGACCTTCTAAAGCGAGAGAAATCATCTCCCCCCACCCCTCCCCGGAAAGAACGATTCCTACTGCTAATCGGAACGGAAGAGAAACTAGCCAAGGGAAGAAGTAAAATTGATTCACAACCGACTGGTCGGGCCGAGCCACAATGTCCGGTTGTAGATGAGAATTATAGTCCGCCTTTTCCCGATATAACAACCCGGTAGCCCCGGGGAAGTGTGGAACTGTCCAGGTCAAGGGACGAGAATTGCCGGAGAGTCTGGAGAAAGGTCTATAGCTTTTTACCTTGGCCATTCTTTATAGAGCGATGAGAGGACATGGGGGATTGGAGGACTAGATCTCACACAGTCCAAAATAGTAGAAGATAGTCAAAGCGAGCAAAATCAAGTCGAAAGGCAAATCAAGTCGAATAAAGGTGCATATCGTCACCTCATCACTTCACATGTTAGGAACTCCGAACATCAACACTTCCAGTATTCCGGGGTTGCCCCTCTCAGCACTTGCCCCTCTTATAAATCGGCCGGTCCCCTCTCCAAGCTTCTCTCTTCCCCATTTCTCTCCTGTCTTCTTCCTCTCCTCCTCTCTTTCTCTACAAATACACGCATTTAATCCATCATGGTCAAGGCTGGTATGTTATTCGGCCGTTTTGTCTATCATTTGCTGATTCGTTATTAGTTGTTCTCGGAGCTGCTGGTGGCATTGGCCAGGTATGTCCCCCCACCTCATTTATCCTTCCTAGGGTTTCTTATGAACCTCAGCTAATCGACCCTCTAGCCTCTCTCCCTCTTGCTGAAGGCTTCCCCTCTCGTGGATGACCTGGCCCTCTATGACGTTGTCAACACCCCCGGTGTGGCTGCCGATCTCTCTCACATCTCCTCGGTCGCCGTACGTATATGTATACTCCTGAAGCATCATAATAAACCCGTTAACAATTTGACTAGAAAATCACTGGCTACCTCCCCAAGGATGATGGATTGAAGCTTGCTCTGACCGGTGCTGACGTCGTTGTCATCCCCGCCGGCATTCCCCGTTAGTAGATTATCCACAGATCGGGATGTGGTGTTTTTGCTAACGTATATGGTAACATCTAGGCAAACCTGGTATGACCCGTGATGATCTTTTCAAGGTCAATGCCGGAATTGTGAAGGGCCTCGTCGAGAGTATCGCCGAGTTTGCCCCCAAGGCTTTCATCCTCGTTATCTCCAACCCTGTGAACTCCACAGTCCCCATCGCCGCCGAGGTCCTCAAGGCTGCCGGTGTCTTCGACCCCAAGCGTCTGTTCGGTGTGACCACCCTGGACGTTGTCCGCGCCGAGACCTTCACTCAGGAGTTCTCCGGCGTGAAGAATGCCTCTGATGCCACCGTTCCCGTTATTGGTGGCCACTCTGGCGAGACCATTGTTCCTCTGTTCAGCAAGGTTTCCCCCAGCTTCCAGATCCCTGCTGACCGATACGATGCTCTTGTTACCCGTATGTGAACAGCCCTTTCCGTGGGAGGCGTTTACTGATATTTCACAGGTGTCCAATTCGGAGGTGACGAGGTCGTCAAGGCCAAGGATGGTGCTGGTTCCGCTACTCTGTCTATGGCCTTTGCCGGTTTCAGGTATGTTTCACCTGCTAACCCGGAGCTACCACGGTGACTGACAAATATTAGATTCGCCGAGGCTATCATCAAGGCTTCCAAGGGCGAGAAGGGCATTGTTGAGCCTACTTTCGTCTACCTGCCCGGTGTTGCTGGCGGTGATGAGATTGCCAAGGCCACCGGTCTTGACTTCTTCTCCACTCCCGTGGAACTCGGTGTAAGTCTTCAATTTTCCAATGTGTTAAAACAACTAACTGACAATGCTCGATCTAGCCCAACGGTGCCGAGAAGGCCATTAACATCCTTGACGGCGTGACTGAGCAGGAGAAGAAGCTCCTCGAGGCTTGCATCAAGGGACTCCAGGGCAACATCGAGAAGGGCATTGAGTTCGCTAAGAACTCCCCACCAAAGTAAGACCTCCCTCCCCCCAATGTCCGTTGTGCACCATGTATATCGGGTGGGCCTCTTTGTGTCGATATATTTCTCGCTAGTTTCTCCACGGGTGCGATGACACTAGAAAATGGCAGAGCGTTGCTAATCAATCTTCTCCCGGAAAGATAGGCTTTAAATGTGAGACCATGAGTTTATGAACAATGAGCAGACACGAGTAGTGTACGGCCCGAAATCAGATGGGTAGGTTTGACACACAGATATAGTAACCAACCTGCAATTTCAAGGGTTCAGATTCCACTGTTCATTTTTGCGTGTTTTCGGTATTCTGTCTCACGTAGCCAATCGACTTAGATGATGATCGATCAACGATCCTTGTAGTAGATCGCAGGAACCACAAGGTCTTGGTAAAATGGAATTGTCATAAGTCATAAGAGTAGGCGTAAATTGGTTGAGTAAAAGGGCTAGCCCAGGCCCAGGCGCAACCATTTTCATGTTCAAGGCCGAGGCTGGAGAGTTTTGATCTGGAAAGTTGCACCTGGTAGATCCGAGGTCTCGGCCTGCACGGTCGTGTTGATACCCAAATTCGCTAACGCGCCCCGGATGATACCGCAAGGAAACCAGAGGTACTAGGTCAACCCATAAGCCGAGAAATCCTCATTAATTGCAAAGGGGATGCTTACTGCCTGCGCCATGGATATTGCTTCAGTCCGCACCGCCATGCTCATCCTACCAAATGGCCGGAACGCGCTGTCTGTCAAAACGTAGACTCCCTATTTATTGATATTAGTTTAAACATCTCCGTGCAAGTGCTGTTTATGTCGCATCTCCCCAACACAGCAGTTTCTGTATTGCACATACCCGATGGTTCGTTTTCAAATTATCCACCTGTTTCTTGAATAGGACCGTCCACAGATCCTTGCAGAGAAACTTGATCACATCGAGATTATCGGTAAATCGAGGGCGATCTCGGGCAAAGCTATAGAGATCGACACGGTTTAGCGCGCTGTAGGACTGCAAGAGAAAAGCAAAGGGGCTGCAAAAGGAGATGTTTATGCTTACCGCTCCGCAAGGCCTTGACCAACACGATAGCCCAGAGACTCTAGACGAAAGAATATCGTCTCTCTCACTTCTTCATCTTCAGCTTCCTGTCCCTCCGTCGCAAGTTCCTTTGCCATACGCTCGGCCATTGGCACCAATTCTATGAGTAGGAAGTCGAAGCATGAGGAGCTGAAGACGCGGGCATTTGGATCGGCATTTGACGGGGAAGTTGAATCGAATGACATTATGGAGTCAAAGGTGACAGGATCTAAGGAAGAGGCGAATGAATAAGGGACCCGGCTGACAGAATGAGGGCGTGTTGATGAGAACTGGAAAATGGGGATTTCCGGGGGGGTGTTGGGGAGTCTAAGCTAACCCCAGGCCGGAATCCACCTGATATTGGCATTTTGATCTATACGAGAAAATAGTTAAGAAACATATATTGTGTTATTTGTAAATAAGAATAAGAGTGATGGTCAAATATATTTCCAGGCTAATTGACCGGTCAAAACTAGAATGATACAATCAATCCCTCCTAGATACGTAGCCACTTGTGATATCTTGAAGACTCCCCCCCTACCCCGCCAGAAACTCCATGGAAATATGCATCAGAAAGAGAAACGATCAAGGCTTTGGTCGTCAGATTGACTAGGATAAGAATCGAAATTCATGGTGGGTACGACCCGCCATTCAGAGGGCTGCTGGCGGGCGGGACATGGTAATCCTGACGAGAAAAAGCCCGGGATGGCAGACTTGTAGCTGGCCTTTTAGGAGGTGGAAGAGGGGACTCGTCATCTTCATCACCACTTTCAGTAAGGTCGATGACCTGAGCAATAGGTCGTTTTTTGCTGGACATGCGCATCGCGGAGGACGGGGTGGATGCCTCTCGTGACTGTGACTGTGCAGGTGTTCGTTCCAGGGCGACGGTCGTGGGTCCCGGTTCCTGTTTTACAACGGGCATCCCTGGTTCGCTGATCTCGATCAAGTCGTCATCGTCATCTGACGCGGGAGTCATCCCTCCCAATTTCGTCGCGTCGGAATCAGTGGGGCTTGACCATACGCCGTCGGGTTCAACGATGACTTGGTCGGTATCTGGTGACGTTGACTGAAGGATGTCATCAACGTACCTATACGACCAGTTAGGAAAAGAAACAGATATGCCGAGGAAGGGGGTTTAGACTTACTGGTCAACTTGGAGAGACTCAAAGCTAGTTGATTTGGAACACACAGGGCAGGTCCAAGTTGGTGCTTGTTTTTGCAATTCAAGGAATGAAGACGCATCAAAGCATTGGTTGTGTGTGCAAACAATGGAGCGGCAGGGTACTTGGATGCGGAGGGTAGATAAAGGGCATTTAAGTGACATGACACTTGATGTCGCGACAATGTCCGAGTCATTTGCGCGATTTCGCACTGAGGATCGAAATTAGCATAGTCTGACCCAAGGGAATAGGAGGGGATCTTACTTTCGCGCAAGACTTGCTCCTTCGAGATGAGTTTCCGTGTCTTCAACTGCGAGACAAGATCATCAGTCGGATGCTGCTTCACGAGGTTGGCAAGCGCGAAGAATTTCTGTGCAAACAGGAGTTAGTCAACCGGCCTAACAGATGCTCTATCGAGTATAAAGGGAACAAGCTCAACCTTTTGCGTCAATGCGTAAGTCATGACAATATTATTAGGATAATTTGGCTTTTTACGGATCCAGTTGGTCACATCTGCAGGTTGTGTGGTGCCCGGCCTATTTTTCAGGCCTCTGAGATTAGCTTTGACTTCATCGAGATTGACTTTGAGCTCCACTTGATGTGGAAATGCGATATCCGACTTGGTGTATTGTGTGAGACCTGAATCACCGGCGCAATAAACCATCACTCGAAGATTTGAGTCCGTTTGCAGCCTATAGGCAACTTGCTGAGATAGCATGACCTTCAGTTCAACACTATCCCGCGTTTGTTCGCGTACTAGGTAAAATTAGACATAGACCCTCAACAAGCTTCACAGATAGATAGTGACATACCTTTACATTCCACGACTGCAGTCAAAGGCTCTAGGATTGTATAAAATGGACTTTCTTTGAAAATCAAAGGACCTGGAGATTTATGAGCGGCCGCAGGAGGTTTCATGAGAGGAGCACTCGGACCAGAGTATGAGTGAGGTGACATGGAAACCCCGAGCGGCGCGGATCGAGCCTGTGCAGGAGATTGAGAGACAGGCGGTGGCTGGTATTGTGGTCTAGCGGGTGATTGATACGGCACGGTGTTTGGAAAAGCAGTAGCACGGATGCGCCGAGCTAGAGCATCGAAACTGACAGGGTCAGATTCTGCGAGAGATTGGATTCCTATTTCGTCGGTCAATGTACGGATCGCTGCAAGAATGGGATGTGAAGCAGAGATTTGAAGATCAAATGAACAAGTCATAATAAGAGTTAGGGAGAGTTGACGAACGTTGGATAATGCGAAACTGTAGGGTTGCCTTCAACCCGGATACCTGGAGGCCCTCATACCTCAACAAATCTTTCAGTTGTGGATTTGTAAGGGGCTTGATAAAGGCTGTCAGTGTCGCGACCTCTGACGACAGGCTGGTCGACATGACTGCTTCACAGATAAGAGGAGTGCGAAAGCAATCAAGGTGGACTTGGTTCAGGGTTCCTCGAAAGACAAGGGTCCGATTCAGCCAGGCCAATTGTAAGGGTTCTGCATCGATACATCTCTTGACTGGAGTGAAATGTTAGAGAAAGGCCACAAACCCCAGCCATAAAAGGGTGAGGTCAAGTCGACAAAGCCTCGGAGGTGTACCTTGGGAAGTGCGGTCTCCGGATGACATAAGACGAGCCTATCGGGGGGGAAAAAAAAGTTGATTGTGTTATCAGTTGACTATTTTATTTCCCATCCGACGTCTTGGTCTATATCCTCAAGTGTTGATACCATATTTACCTTATTCTTCCCATTATCTTTTTCTTCTATCCTCATACAATGGCGAAAAGTGTTCGAGCCAGCGTTTCCAAGCGCAACAGAGCCAATCTGCGCAAGAAGGTCTTTGGCCCACTGGTTGATGCCAGAACCGAGAGACTCGCTGCCAAACTACAGGAGCTTGCATCACAGCCACGGCCTGAAGCTCCTGTGAAATCAAAGATGGACCTGGACGAGGCTGGTATGTATACTACCATCCCTCTTCTAAGGATACCGACTAACTTCGTATTCCGTATTAGCCGAAGCAGCCAAGGCTCAGACTGGTGACAGTGAAGGTTAGTCTATGACAATCCAGCATTTGAATCTTCACTTTTTGCTTTGAACTGCAGAACGCTTACCCAACACAGAGATGGATATCGACGCAATCAAGAGCTCTAAGAAGAAGCCGGCACGTGTGCAAAAGCGCAACCAGAAGCCCCGCAACTCGATTGTCTTTCAAAAGCGTCTATCTACGACCAAGAAGGGACCTAAGAGGAAGTGAGGCCTGTGCCGAGTGAGGGCAATGAATGGATTTGACGAGATGTGGTGGCGGAGAAGAAAAAGGCGTTTGGGAGTCTACAATTACACCTGCAATTCACGTACATATGTTTTATAGTCTGTGCCTGATATACCATACCTTTCATTCAAAGCTTGACATATTGGATTTTGCTCAGTGGAAGAAAAGCAACCCTAGCACACTGTGGCTGGAGCAGGGTCGATGTAGATCTAATTCTTAATTCACCGACAAGCAACCCTAGTCAAGATCAGTTGGCTAGTTCATGCATTCATCCGGCGCTGTTAAGTTCTAGCCCCTGAATGATTGTTGAATCTTTGAACTAATGTCAATAGTATTATTACAATAACTATACCTAATGTTGTACAAGGTACTCGAGAAGGCGGTGTGGTGATGCGCGACGATCATAAATATAATTCTGCCTCCCTTTGGATCCCCCGGACAGTTCGACAGGTGCAGCTGATTCGGGGTCTCTTTACATAAAATTTGTTCTGCCAGAGCTAACATCAAGTCAATTTGCAAAAATGGCGGGCTTCCGCAGTTGGACGACAGTCATTGCCAATTTGCTGGTGCCCGTGGGCATACTCACCTTCTCTTCAGGGTTCTTCCCTTATAAACCGTTGATCCCTGGATTAGCGACTTTTGATGAAACCGGCCAGAATGTCATAGTGCCTGCGGCTTTTGATAAAGTTATCTTCATGGTTGTTGATGCGCTGAGGAGGTATGATTTGAATAATTCAACTCCGAGCTATATCAGTAACTAACAAGGTGCTCACATATAGCGACTTTGTATATTCGAACGAGTCGGGTTTCTTGTTTACACAGAGGTGGGTGTCGCTTTTGAAATACACCATTTATTCGTTCGAAACAAGTGACTGATTGGATACTAGCTTGATCCGGTCCGGTGCTGCATTGCCATTCACTGCCTATGCAAGCGCTCCAACTGTCACAATGCCTCGATTAAAAGCTATCACAACTGGTTCAGTTCCATCTTTTCTAGATGTTATTCTCAATATCGCAGAATCGGATACCTCGTCAACACTGGCATACCAGGACACCTGGTTGGCACAATTGAAGGCTACAGGAGGACGGCTTGTGATGTATGGGGATGATACCTGGCTCAAGCTCTTCCCGGGAATGTTTGACCGAGCTGATGGAACTACAAGCTTCTTCGTGTCGGTCAGTTGTACTTTAGGTGTTTGTGTATCCGCAGTATTAGTATTGAAACTGAGATTCTCCTCGCAGGACTTCACGGAAGTAGACCATAATGTGACTCGACACGTTCCTCACGAGCTTGCCCAGGATGACTGGTCTGCTCTGATAATGCATTACCTAGGTCTCGATCACATAGGACATAAGGCTGGCCCCAAAAGGTAAATTCAGCTCCCGATTTCATTATTAGCTGCTCTCTATCCTCTAACTCTCCTAGTCCATTCATGATACCGAAACAGCACGAGATGGACTCTGTGGTGACTGAAATCTATACCGCAATGCAGCAACAAGATCATCTTCAATCCACACTTTTCGTGTTGTGCGGAGATCATGGCATGAACGAGGCTGGAAACCATGGCGGGTCATCTGCTGGAGAAACATCCCCCGCGTTACTTTTCATTTCACCCAAGTTTGAAGCCTTGGGTGGCCGAAGAGAAAGCCCAGTGGAACCGTCGGGTGATATGCAGTACTACCAAACGGTTGAGCAGGCGGACATTGCTCCGACCTTGGCGGGGCTTCTTGGTATCCCAATTCCTTTAAACAGTCTTGGGGTATTCATCCCAGAATTTTTAGAGATGTGGGATCATGGTATGTAATCTATTCCTAATGGCGTCCAAGCGAAGAAAGATCCGGAACTGACTCGGGAACAGGTTCTCATAAACTTCGAATCTTATATCAAAATGCTGAGCAGCTGCTGAACACGTTGACAACAACATTCCCTGGATCTACGTTTGGCCCCGATAGTCCTACATCCTGTGCTCCAGGACTTCCATCAGGTATTGAGGGAGCTCAATGTGCGTGGGCTCGAGTCCAGCAACTTCTCTCAGGTAGGGATGAAGCAGATGATTCTTACTCTACAGCTGGCCCCGATTTGCTGCAATTTTTAAGGATTGCACAGGAAGTTATGAGTCGTACTGCCAGTAACTACGATGTCTCCAGACTCATTCTGGGCTTGTTGATCACGGGGATTGCAGGCCTGCTTGTCCTTCCGGCCACATACAAGGAATGCACACGTCACGGATCTTCCGGGATGTTTTTGACGCTTATGATCATCACCTGTGGGATGATGATGTTTGCTAGTAGCTATGTGGAAGAAGAGCAGCAGTTCTGGTATTGGATCTGCTCGGGGTGGATTGTCTACCTGCACATGAAATCGCAATCGTCTGCAAAGCCGCTCTCACACAAACGCTCTGGATTATTATTATATTGGTCTGACAAATGTATCATTCTTGTGCTCGCCATCACCCAGCGGCTCTTGCGACGATGGAACCAAACTGGTCAGAAATTCGCGGCCGAGCCTGATATTGCTCGCACATTCTTTGCACGCCACCCGGAAATCTTCTGGGGTCTTTTTATCCTCGCGTACGTGGATGCCGGTCGTCATCTTCTCGGGAGTATACCAATCCCTGGATTATTGAGGCTAGGTGTCTTGGCCCCCTCCGCGTTGGCCTTTACGTTCAAATTGCACTTTGTGACTTCGGAATCGCCCGAACTCCTTGATGGGACATTCATCTCGCAAATCATGAAGGAATGGCCCTACAGTCTATCATTGGTCTTGCATGCCAGGCTCGTGTTTTACGGACTTGCTGTCGTTGTCCTACTATCGCTCTTTGCCGGAAAACGATCAAGAGTCCCCCGAGGTAAGCCCACACATGCGCTAGATTGCCTCTGAGCTTGGAGGTCATTACTGACCAGACTCTGTAGTACCATATGATACAATCCATGAAGCTCTGCACATCTTCCTAATGACGCAGTCCCGTGCCACTAACGTCCCCCTGTTCCTAATTTTCCGAATCCAGGCCGGCATTCTCTCTTCCATGAACCTCACAGGGATTGAGGTGACAATCACAACCTTGATCTTCCAATATATGACGTTCTTCGCGTTTGGCGGATCCAATGCAATCTCCTCTGTAGACCTTGCTAGTGGATATAACGGTGTTGACAGCTACAGCGTGGTGTTGGTGGGAGTTCTCACCTTTGCGAGCAACTGGGCAGGGCCTATCTGGTGGGCATCACAAAGCCATCGTCTCCGGCCGAAGAGTCCCGTAGGACAAGACCCCTCGGCACTGTTGACATTCCATGTTGCCGTGTCCTTGGTTTCTGTCATGGCCGCCTGTACAGCCCTCCGGACGCATCTTTTCATCTGGACCGTTTTCTCGCCCAAGTATCTCTACAGTATGGCGTGGGCCACTGCCAATCATGTTGGTGTCAATTTATTGGGCGAGGTTATTTTCTCTCGATCGCGATCTCGTCATTCTTCATAAACATTTTAGCTTCAAAATACATGCCTGGACATCCCTTGGAATCCGCAAAAGAAAAGAAAACACTGTACATAAGAGGGGTATGAGATTCAAAATAAACCGCTGAATAAGTCATCAATAGCGTTCTTCTTCTTCTTCTTTTTCGATGTACTTTTTGAAACAGCGTCATCTGTAGGCCTTTCCGTGGGCTTCTCAGAAACCTTGGAGGCCTTGGGGACCTTGAAATCAGACTGGGAAATCTTGACCGGGGTGACTGGCGTATTGTCAATGCGACGAATGCGTTCCCCAAGATCTTCCCGATCTTTCTTGACAGGAGCAATCTTGGACCTTGTCACAGGTTGCATCTTCAGCTGGTGACTGATCCCGGTGACTTTGGACAGTCGGGCCAACGCAGCTAAAAGTACGATTCCAAGGGTCGAGAACTGGTTATCGGTAACGACAGTTGAGAAAGCGCTAAGAATACAGTTAGCTTGATTTTTCCACGTAGGACTTTTCTTTTTATCATACATGTAACATCTTGGGATTACGTGCGTGGCCAGATGAGTGGTCACCCCCGATCGGGCGGAATCCAAAGTGGCGCGTTTCAAGATGGATAGCCATTTCCACCATTTTGTTCGGCGATGTTGATTCTTGTTGCGATGAAAGATCAGATGTAGCATTGAGTGGACTTCCAGAATTTCCTTGGAGTCCATGGTTGGTGAGATGGAAAAGATGAAAAGATTTTCCCGTGGATTCTACGGTTTTACCTGTCTACTTTGTAAGTGACTGGGAGACAATAACTAACTATTCATTTCATTTGACTAACTCCATCCCCTGTTTTTGGATTTTCGGATTTTCGAAATAGAAAGAGTAAGAATAAAAAGCAGACGCAGAAGCCATGAAAAGGAAAAAAGCTGGGAAAAAAGCTCGAGCAATGAATCGTGAGAGATCACAATTAAAGGCACAATTCCGAAAGACCATCGAAATGTGCAATCTCAGCTTTGAAACAGCGAGTAGGCAAGGCTTGCACAGAGCCATTCTGAGCAACTCTTCCCTTTGCCGTTGCCTCTGAATGAGTCCCTCTGTCGTGGCGTAGAGGAACAATCGAGGATGTTGAAGGAGCAAAGAGGGAAGAGGATGCAATTGTCAGTGTAGCATCATCTGTCGGATTTGTTTCTTTTTTCGTTATTTTTTGGATTTTGTCGGATAATTCAATAAACAAAGCGGTCGCGAGACTCTGTGCCTGTCATTGTGTAAGTATGAAACAATCTGATCAGTCAGGAACCATTGGCTTACAGAATGTCATGTCCAGTTGCTGCAGTATGACCCGTTCGCATAGCCCCTGTAGGAGGAGCTTAATTTTTCTCCGGCTTGAATTGACGGTCCTCTGCCTTCAACGGAGATGACTTCATCGGAGAAAACTCGCCAGGACCATGCTGGACCGAGCGTCCGCCAGACTGCCGGGGAGTGCGGATCGACGATGGTCGACTCCGAGGAGTCTGGTTCAAGGGCTGGGACCGAGGAGTCTGGTTGAAGGATCCAGACTGAGGACGCGTGCGGTTGGAGCGAGGTGTACTGGGAGCTCGTTTCCGGGGTGAATAGAGGCCTGTGAAAGGGTCAGAATACGTCCACAAGCCAAAGGGCACAATATCTTACCTTGCTGAGTGGTGCTGGCAACCGAACGACGGAGCTTACTGGCATCATTGGGGCCGGGGAAAGTCGCTTCGGTGCCTGCACGGGGGCCATCGACATGGAAGAGCTATATTCAGTCAATACCGGCACCGGAATCGGGGAGGGGGGGGGAGGTGAAAGCTTAAACCTACTCGGGGTCGCTCTTCATGAGGACGGGTCATAACGTTGCTGTTTCGGAACTTATTCACAAGAGCTTCCCTACCTTGAAGTGCTATTGAAACTTGTTAGATATCATTCCCACTGACTATGGATGGGACACAAACTGGCGTAAGAAACTTGAGCTATCTTCTCGGAGATGCAGTCGGGCCTGTAATTGTCTCGAGTCAGCGAAAATGCACTTTTTGGGGGAAGATAGGAAGCAGCATACCAAGCCTTGCCCTCTCGAGCGTGTACGAGCTAAGGAAAATTGGTAAGTAGATGTCACACACTGATACATGGTATAACTCACATTGACAATGTCAATTGCCTGTAAATTATGTTAGTATAATGTCAGAAAAAAGAGACATCAGATGAAAAGGATGCCTGACGAAAGTAAGGCCAGCAAAAAATACTCACATCAGCGAAATTCATGAACGCATAACCAACGCTAGAAGGACAAATGGTAAGTAAAATTGGAAGCCAACAATTATCAAGCAATCAGAACTTACTTGCAATGATGGGTAAAATCTGTGGGTCGAATTAGCATGAACAAGACAATAAACCATGGAGAAGCACTTACCCATGCGCAGGTAGAGGAAGTCATACTTCCCATGACTGGACTCGTCTAGGATGGTCTTCAACTGGTCCTATTGAATGATAGAATTAGCCTTCCTGATTTTCATAAGATAACGGAGATAATCATACCGAAGTGATTTTGTTGGGAATGTTGCGTATCATAACCTGTAACGAGACAAAATGTGAGAAACCGGTCTTGCAGCAGAGGGGAGAAGACTTACGGTGCTGCGAACATCTAGTCCTTGTTTGATTCGGTCAAGGTCAATAGCATGCTCTCCACTCGTCTGACCTTCATCAGAAACTGGAGAGATGTCAACCTTCTCGTCGATCTCGTTCTCCTTGGACACGAGGTGGTACGGTGTCACAGGGCTCCGAGGGGAGCCAAAGCTGGCAGTTCGATAGCGAGGCAAAACAGGAACCTCTTCACGTGCATCAATAGAAACATTGAAATGAAGACTCTGCAGAAACCCAATATTAGCATTTCAAAGAACACAAAAGCAAGTGAAAAAGGAAAAAAAGGAACAACATACATCAAGCCTGAACCCACCGAGGCAGGAAAAAGCATAAGCTGCATGACGCTTGTTGAAATATTCGACTTGGTATCGACTCATGCTCGTTCCATTCTCGGTAAGCTTGCAAGAGCGCAGGGTGCCAAGGGAAGCGACGACTTGGTTGACAATCTCTTCCACGGGTTCCACGAGCCACTTGCTTGGGATGGTGTACACAGAAAGCAGAAATGCACCACCCTGAGGCACAGAGACAGAGGAAACGGCTCCATTGGATCCATTGGATCCATTGAAAGTGGCAATGTCGTCGTAACTGGCCGGGAAGACGCGCCAGCTAGGACGAGTTAGGCGGATTTTGTTCATGGCGTGGACAGCCTCCCGAAGATCGCCAAACGAAAAAGAAAAGACGCCCCTAGCCTCAAGGTGCTTGAGACAAACAGTCTCAAGGGAAGGATATTCCTCGATCTTGTTAAAGTCAGCTTTGGTCCATCCCATGAGATCATATTGTAACTTACCGGGAACATCATAGCAATAGAGCGGTGGGGGGTGTCGAGAGGGACATGCTGCACAATAAAGCTGCGATGTTTCTCAACAACATCATTAGTCCCAGCGGCGGGAGATCGTGGAGACGCGTCGGTTGTACCAGTGGCACGACGAGCTTGGTTACTGGGGGAGATATGGGCCAGTGCATTGGTAGGGGAGGCAACATTGGTATCTCCGACTGCAGAATCAGCGGCTGCGAGCAATCTAGATAAAAAATCCGGTGTCGTATTGTATTCATAGTTAATGTCGTCACGGGATGGTGAGTACCGAACATTGGCAATACCTGCCTGAACAGGAGAGTACTCAGATGCCAAACGCGCCTGAGCGCGAGTCAACGAATGAGGCGAGTATTGAGTTTGATTCAGTGACCGAGATGCCTGGGCATGGGAAGGCGAGTATAGCATTCCACCGGGACCAGCTCCTGCAGGGGACACCTGGGGTGAGACAGGCGAGGGCTGGAATTTGCCAATTGACGCGCGAGCTGCCTGGGTGCAAGTCACCCGAGGCGAAACAGGCGAGTACTTGTACTCGTTGCCTGAGATGCGAGTGTTCGCATGGTCAGTGGTAGCAGGCACTGGATAGGCATAGCAAGAAGCAGAGCTTGCAGTGGTAGTTTGAGACGAAGGGATGCTAGGCGCAGACCCTTTCTCATCGATCCAACCAGCAAATGGATCACTATAACACATTAACGTACTTAGGGCTTGGATCATCAATATATAAAACCAGGACAAGTATCCTACCTAGTCGGACGAATGGTCGCCATTCCAGGAAGGGAGCCAGGGTTGGCTCGGTGAGCGAAAGCATCATACCCCATCGGATTGAATGCAGTAAGCTGCTTCGATGGCGATCCTCGAGTTGGAGAAGACCCTTCCATGTTCAATACTAAATCAATGAGAAGGTCAGGAATCGAGAGTCATATTAGAAAGACATGTAGACATACAAGCTAGCAAGTTGTTCAGTCCAAGCAGCGAGGAAAGGGCAGTGTGACCCTAGTGATAGAAAGTAGCAGTAAATGGCAGCAAGATTATTTTTAAAAAAAAGAGCCACGGGAAATAAAAGAGAAGAGAGGAATCGTTGGTGGGCACAGTTCTTTTATATGTCAAGACCGCGACTCATACTCGGGATACGTTTCGAGAGAACCAATGGGACGATGTGATTGTGCAACGGCAGAGCGACTCATTGCGTGCGAACAAGATACCGCGACAGAGCGACTCATTGAGTTCGACCACAGCGCAGCAGAACGACTCACAAAGTGCGACCAAGATATTGCTGAATAGATCCCAACGAACGACGAACGAACGAAGTCCCAACAAGAATTCAATGATTGGCCCCCAATGAAAGTAAAATATAGCCTAGTTGAGCGCACGAGTCGTCCTTTATCTTGCTGGTTCTCTAGTAGCCTTCACTATCGCAGTGTCTCCAATCTTCATACAAGGCCCGTGGAATGACTCGCTGTGATCCTTCATCAGCGATACTATCATAGTAAAAAATCTTGTTCACAATTACAGACCAGCCATAGATAGTAAATCACAATCATCCAATTCATATCTTTCTCAATGAGAAGTTTCATGTCGCTTGTCAACAGTGTGGGAGATCACTGCTCTCTGTCTTACTTTGTAAATAAGGTGGTTATCAGATGCGTTGGTCCCATAGTCTCTCGGCTGCTAAGAATATTGAGCAAATTGTGGTAGAACAATGCTAAAGAACAAAGAGACCATGGCATATAGAAAAAGGAAAAGGAAGGAAAAGGAAGATTGTTATACACTTGATATGGCTAAGGTTCAGGCTAGTGATAACGCTAGTACAGAGTGGGATTAGCCTTTTAGAAAGCGGCAGATCGAACATTTGACCGCCTACGGACGTCAACGAGTAACATAAGCTTGAGATCATCCCTGGATACATGTAAGGTTGCAAGCTGCAAGTGGAGAAGTATTGAGACTATTGGGCTTATCGCTGGCTATGAAGCTGAGCCATTATGCCACCCATGGCTCCAATGCTCAATGAGCCACATGTCTTGAACCAAGTGAGCCAGCCTCTACAACATGGAGAATGTACCTAAACGAAACTGACTTCTTGTCCCTATAGATTATTATCTCACCCTCTGACACAGACTATCTGGACCAGCTCATTCCCTCAATCAGAGACTACAGTGTTGGGAACCGCACTCCACAACTCCTGCAGTCACTGTCCCGGTTCGCGGGCGACAAGGAGTCCGAGATCGAAAGTATATGCAACACAAATCACCAGGAGTTTGTCTC